TTGCTCTGCCCCCTTCCTTTCTCCTAGAAAGCCTCAAATTCCCTTGTGGTGGACTCAGGGACATGCACACTCTGCCTTTCCAGCCTTCTTTTAGACAAATAGCAAAAGTCTGTCAAGGTCTGGCACTTCTCTGGTTCAATGGGTTGTTAACACATTCAGTTTTACTTTATTGACAAGTTGCTTCTGTAAAACTTAGGTTATCCTTGCTACTGACTGCCATTACAATCCATTTCTTCAAAAACCAACTCTTTTTTTCACTTTAATTTTTAATTAGCTTTCAAAGTAACAGTTTTGCAACTATTCATGCATCTTCGGCTTTGATGGGCACTACCCTGCCCTGTTTTTTGCCTTTACTCCATCCTTGTTCCCCATTCGGCCATTCTGATTTACACAAGATGTAAGTTGAAGCTGAAGTGGGAATATTGGGAATGCAAGATCAATGTTTATTCAGACAGTGGATAATTTTTATATTTACCACAATGATAGTGTTTAATTAAATGATCACTCAGTGTACATTTAGTGATGCAGACATATTTTATGATCCTATACCACCTTGATGACAGATACCATTACATTATTGCTTTAATTACCCAGTTGGTAAAACAATTTAATCAGTAATATAAGAGTACTTATCACTTTTTTATATGCTTGACAGCTTTTAACTTTGTAATATTATATTATCTCTCAAAATTTTATGGGAGTCTCACTGAAAAAAAAATGACATTTTATATGTCCCTAGAAAAAAAGGTTGCTTTTTGCTAGAAATTTGAGTTTATGTTTCCTACAGTGGGTAAGGTTCTCTCTAAAACACAGGGCTGTGATTGTTTTTTAATATAATCTGGGTGGGAAATGCACATGACAGTCTGTACAGAAAGCAATCACATACGGTAATTGCAAAGAAAATCAAGTATCATAGTGTTCTTTTCACATACAGGTAAGACTATTTAATACTCTGTGCCACACACAGAAAACTCAGGTGGCAAATAAGCATCGAGATACTTCACAGAGAAGATCAGTTGAAGGGCAATCAGTCACCGTGTAGTGAAACCGAAGAGGGAGGGAGGGTGGTGACTGTTTTTATTTTGATGAGCCATCAAGTGAGGGCGAAACAAGACTAACCTTCTTTTGTTAACCATTTTATCCATTTTATTTTATTTTTTATTTTCTTCTTCGAAGTCCATCATCTTAATCCCAGGCTGTTTCCTGAGACACTGAAGGACAACACACCATCCCTGTAACAGCAAAAAAACATGTTACAGAATGCTCAGCGGCATCGGAATGCATCCCTATTACCGTCAGCTTATAACCAAATCAATTTCTGTTTCCCAGGCAATTTAATCAAGATGAATATTTACCAGATTACAAACCTCAGAGGCATGTTTTTACTTTTAAAAATAAATTACATATTTTCTAATAATCAGATTTATCTTTTAAAAATATTTTCTTAAGTAGTTGGTGCTCATGATAGCAATCATAGTTATCAACCTGACATACAGGGGAGGGGGACCCTCAAATGAGGAATTGTGTTCATCACATTAGCCTGACATCCTATCTGCAGGGCAATTTCTTGATTGCTAATTGGTGTCTGAGGGCCCAGACCACTGTGGGAACCAACCATTTCCAGGCAGAGGCGGCTGCATTATGTTAGATAAGCAGTTGAATGGGAGCCTGTGAGCAATCCAGTAATCAGTGTTCGTTCATGACCTCTGTTTGAGTTGCTGCCTCCAGATTTCTGCTGCAATTTCTGCCTTGGTTTCCCTCCATGAGGAGCTATAATCTATAAGATGAAATAAATCATTCTTGCTTTTGGTTATGGTTTTCTCACAGGAACAGAAAGCATGTAAGAATGGTGTTGGACAAAGTTAACTTCCAGCTATTTCTGATTGTAAAGTTCCCTCAGAGCACCTTCTGCATTAGGCATACTTTAATAATTGTATATTTAACGGCTGAAATCTAAACATTTGTAGCAGGAATCTTAGAAGGTCTTATTAATAAAATCAAACCTGAGGCCAGTTATTGGGGTGAAATGCTGGAAGATCAGAGAAGCAGAACAAGCCACAGCTACCTCACCTGGCCAACTTCTCAGCTGCTCTTGTTTCCTCAGACTGGAAGCCTCTGTGTCCTCATATCCGAATGGCTCTCAGCTGAACTGCTGCTAGAAGCCTGAAAGCTTAACCAGCCAAAATGCTTCTAGTTTCTGGTCCTCATGCCTTATGTATCTTTCTGCTTTCTGCCTCACTCCTTGGGATTAAAGGCGTGAGTTACCTTGCCTGGCTGTTTCCAATGTGGCCTTGAACTCACAGAGATCCAGAGGGATTTCTGCCTCTGGAATGCTAGGACTAAAGGCGTATGCTACCACTGCCTATCCTCTATATTTAATATTGTGGCTGGCCTGTTCTCTGACCCCGGTTAAGTTTATTAGTGTGCACAATATTTTGGGGAACACAATACCACCACAAACATTATTCCTTATAAGAATTTCCTGCTTGTATAATTGTATACCAATGCCCTATTTTTATTTTTTTTTTACAGAAATTCCATTTTCCTTCCCTTACTTTCCACCAGCCCAGCTAAAATTAAAGTACAATTTGGTGTAGCTTTCCTTACATGTATTTTCCTGAAATATAAACACTGAGAAGAAAAGGAATTCTGATCTGTTGTTTATAATTTAATCTCTTCTACTGAAGTACCCAGCATTATTTTCTTTGTTACTGTAACAAATCACTATAACCTTGGTGAGCAAAAAACAATGTGAATACATTATCTCACAGTCCTTCAGGTCAATTGTCAGTCAGGGTCTAATAACGATGAAATGCATGTATGAGAATTGGAGTGCTGGATTCTATTATGGAGGTTCTAGAGGAAAGTCTATCTCTTTCCGTTTTTTAGCCTGTAAAAGCTTTATGCATCACGTAGCTAATGATATCCTTTCTCCATTCTCAAGAGACAGAAATTGTGTCAGTGATCATTATTCTACAGTTATATCCCCTTCTGATTCTAGTCTAAAGAGGTACTTTTCCTTTTTAAATATTTACTCACTTCTTTGTCTGTTAATTTATTTAAGACAGTGTCTGCCTGTGTGGCCCAGACTTTGCTCAAAAGTACAAGGCACCTTCCTTAGCTATTCAAGCTGTGAGATTAGAGAAGTGCTAGCTTCTCTAGTTTTGATTTGTGTGGTTACATGAAGTCCCCAGTGAAAAAATCCAGATAATTTCCTACTCAAAATGTTGTTAAAACTTGCAAGATTTGTTGGCCTTACAAGGTGGTAAATTTACTGATTTTAGTGACCAGAGCTTATGCAGGTTTGACGGATCATTATTTTGGTCCAATACGAAGTTTCAAGCTCAGTAAAAATTGTTTGAAATAAATTAATTTTCAATTAATGGATTGGTGATTCTGAGTGAAAATCAAATATGTCAGTTGTTATTGTATAAATATATGCTTAATTTTAAATAATTTTTTCATACATAACATTTTCATCATATACATTACCCATCCTCAACTCCTATAAAATTCTCTCCCACCTCCCTACACATCCAGCTTCATTACTACCTCCCTTCCTCCATCCCCCTTTTTCTCTAAAAAAGAAATATAATGAAAAATGAAACTTAAATCTTATAAACTAAAGCTAAAAGAAAAGAAAATCAATAAGACAAAAAAGAAACAAAATATTAAGAATGTGCTCTCATGCACAGACACACACATATGCGCACACATACACAAACAATAAAATAATAATAATAATAATAATAATAATAACAACAATAACATAATGGAGCTTATTTTGTGCTAATCAAGTACTCCTAGTCTTTGGAGCTTCCCTGGAGTGTGATGGATATACCCACTGATACTCCATTGCAGAAAAATTATTTTCTTTTCTTAACAGTGTACAAATACAAATAGCTCCTTACTTAGGGATGGGAATTTTTGTCTACTTCGTGTTCTCAGTGCTGGGATTTTGTGTGATTTAAGCTGTGCAAGTCTTATGAATACTATCATAGTGTTTGTGAGTCATTCACCAATTCTGCCTCCTACTTTTCTGCCTCCTTTTCTTTACAGATCCCAAACCCTTGAAGGGAAGGATTTGATGAATAAATTCTGTTTAGGACTGAGTACTTCAAAGTCTCTTACTCATTTCTTATTGTTCAGTTGCGGGTCTCTGTGTTGGTTCGCAATGACTGCAAAAAGAGACTTCTCTGATGAGTTCTCAGGAATCTTCTGCTCTATAGTTTAGAGCAATATGTCATTAAGCATCCTTGTATTGCTATGTATCTTTATCAGAACAATAGTAATAGGTTTCTGCCGAGGCACATGAGCAGTCTAGTGTCAGATTCCCTGTCATTTCAGCAGTGTGATGTATGGATTCCATAACATGGAGTGAGTCTTCAGTCGAATGAGAACGTGATGGGCTAGTTCTATAAAACATGTGCCACTGTTGCACCTCTGCATCCCACAGGCAGGCTGCTAATGTCATTCACGAGGTTTGAAGCTGAGTGACGTTGATAAGTATTTTTCTCCTATAGTAATGTATAGAGTACTTCCTATCACCATGAACACACGTCAATGGTAATAAAGCTAATAGTTGGGCACCTGTTTGAATTTTCCAAGTTTGATATATAAATAAGTGTCGTCTTCTGTAATAGGGTCTTATCAACACTTATACTGAATAACTGATAGCTGTAAAATGGCCTATGGTATTTGAGTAGATGACCTATGGGACTTCTTTGGTAGACAACTCAACAAGATATAACCCATTCCTGTCATTACATTAAAGATTTTACTTGGTAGCATAAGTTATCTAGTTGCAGTATTGTCTCCCCCATTATATGATGAATTCATTAAATTTCTTTGAGATATATATATATTTTAGGAAATTTCTACAGTATTAGATTTCCTTATAATTTTTCAAAAAGCTTTTAGTGTTAGTTACCCTCTTGATATTCTCTTATCCATATTCCCCAAAAAATCTCTCAATTTTATCCTCTTACTCTCTATAGCACTAAAAATGTGTACACTTCTCAAATTTCAGTGTTATCTTCATGTAGGGGGCATGCTAACCATTTTTATATTATTTCAAGTCTAGTATATGTGCCGCTGAAGTGAATGCTAGTGCACATCATTCAAGTGATGAGAAAAATGTCAACTGATGCCACCTGAGTGTGCTTTGGAAACAGGTAAGAATTGTGTGCATTCTTGGGAGGTTGTTTAATTTTTTAATTGTTTTCAATCATGAACTCAATGCTGTGTTAAGGCTTCTAAGATTTTTTAAATGTAAAATGGATAACATAATTAAAATACATGTGATAGTATCTGGTATATAGAAATTACCCAGCATAAAAAAGATTTTACTATTTCAAGAATAATTAAAATAAAAATATTCCTTTGAGTATTGATTTAATTTAGGAACTATACATGTTGTTTGTAAGCACATACAGAGAGCTAGAGAATATATTCAATGGCTTTTTAAATCATAGGTAATGCATAACATGCAAACTAGTCCAGGTGAGCATTTCTAATTGAATGTCTCTTCACTCAAATATCTTCCAGGTTAATGGAGGTTCTACTATTATAATTTTGCAATATCCAGGGAATCATTTTAAACTATAGTTCCTAATTGAAAGAGAATTACATCACTTTACCCTCTTTCCTCCCTCCAGCTCCTCCTAGGACTTCTTCCTCTAAACATAAGCATGAAAGAACAATAATAATAATAAAATAAAAAGACACTATACATTCCAGGATATCATTTTATAGATCCATATAAGAGGCAAAGAGTACTAATCTTGAACATAGTTTTGTAGGCTTCTTTCTGCACAAATGCTTATATTTCTGTAGAGAAAACAATATGAAGTTTCACCAATCTAATTCTTTTATCTAAAATCTCAGTATATTTCATGGTACTAGTTATCTGCATAGGAATGGACATTGCTTGTCAAAGTTATTTACCACATAAAGTCAAAAGTCAAATACTCTAATCAGTCCTCAGACTTTTGATGAATCTTCCCTTAAAAAGCCAAAAGTGTTTTCATCAACCTGATGATCATGTTCTCAGCATTAAGAAAATGTCCAATTTTCTGTGAAGATGGCTGTGTAGGTAAATTACTTCCTGTGCAAGCATGAGAACTTGAGATTGGATCCCAGAGTCCCAGCTAAAAACATGGGCATTGTAAGTCATGTCTGCATTCATTGCACTAGTTGAGGAGGAGAATGCATGAATTTGTTTGAGAAACTATTCTAACAGGAAGAGTAGAGCATGACATTCAGAGAAAATCACTGTTAACAAAAATAAGATAGATCATGATGGAGGAAAATACCTCGAGTCAACCTCTCCACTTCACCTCCACATACACATGCAAGCACACAAGAACACACACACACACACACACACACACACACACACACACACACACACACACACACACACAATGCTAATGAAGAGTTTTGCATCAGAACTAAATTTCTTTATATAACTAAAAATACATTAAGTTTTAGTTCCTTTATGTTTTTGTATCACTTCCTTTTTTGGTCCGAATACCTTTATTCTCCTCACCAAAATTGAAAGCTATTTCCAACTTCTCACATTAGAAATTACAATTATCTTCCTCATCACACATCTCCTCTGTTGTCAACTCATTTTCCAATGGCTTGGCATATTGCTGCATATAAGCTGGTATTTGTTTCTACGTCAGTTTTAGTAATGAAACATTTTTTCACTAAGGCATAGAGGCAAAGACCATGTTTTAAAGGACTATAGGTTTGGTCCATGCTTTCCTAATATTTTACATCTAAGTAAATCATCCTTCGTGTATTCTTTCAAGGACCTAGGCTACTAAGTCTTCACCGTATGTAGTGTGTTATTTTCAAGACTTCATCGGAATTTTCCAATCTTACAGCAGTCAAAAAAGGAAAACGTGGATGGAAGAAGGCGTTTAGTAAGTTGTTTTTTTTTAAGTTAATAGTGAGTAAAACACGCATTATTTTTTAATTTCCATCATTTTGAAAATAAAAAATTATATTCTAATATAATGCACATTAATCCAATGTATATCATATACATATGTTTCAAAACAGAAAACAATGAACACCTGAAGCTGTGATTGGTCTCTTATACCAAGTAATAGCATTAGTTAATATATAAAATGTTAACATAATATAATGTCAGTTAAAGTATTACTATATAAAGGGTTAAAAAATTATATTTCTGTTAAGATGATATAATACAATTGATTCAAATGGAGAAATTATTTAATCACCACTAAATACTGAAAAATAAGAAATGAAATCATGATTGTTTGGCTAGGGTAGACTGCTCTTTTTATCTACTTCATCTATAAAAGCAGATCTTACATCTGTAACTTTAAATATGCTCTTTCCAGTGATAATGTAACTTCAATTACAATGAGATTTGATATCATAAGTCATGGGAAAGGAATTGGCTTTTCTCTTTAGCTTTGATGTCCTGAACAAGTCCCTGTTGGCCCAAAATGGATTTGTTAGAGACACAAAAGCTCACATAAAACATGCTTAAATATTGTGCTATTCATTTTAAAATATTCCTTTTCAGATTTCTTTAGCCTTTGGTTTTCAATGATCTTATGAAAGCTTTGTGAATTTTCTTAATAGTCCAAGTGTTTTTTTTTTTTTCAGAGTCTTTGAATACCTTAAATTTGTGGATGTAACCAACCATCTTATTAAATAAGAAACACAGAACCAATGCGAAGAAGAAAGCCAAGAGATCAGAGCTAAGAGCCTTACCCGCCTGCTACAGCTAGCCACTTCAGCCAAGAGACCTCTCCGAAAGAGACCTACTTCCTGTCTGTTTGTCTTTATATAGACTTTCTGTTCTGCCTTCTCATTGGTTGTAAACCCAATCACATGAATGCCTCATCACTGCCTGTCTGTACAGACCTCCAGGTCTTCTATGGTTGGTATTGAGATTAAAGGCGTGTGTCTCCAATGCTGGCTGTATCCTTGAACACACAGAGATCTACCTAGCTCTGTCTACCAAGTGCTGGGATTAAAGGCGTGCACCACAAATGCCCAGCTTTTGCTATGGCTCTAATAGCTCTGACCCCCGGGCAACTTTATTTATTAACATAGAATTAAAATCACATTTCAGTACAAATAAAATGTCACCATATAAATTTAGGCTTAATTTAGGCAATGTTTATCTTAACTGTAATGGGAATGAGACCTCAGGGATTTGAGAAGAGCATTCAGTTTGGAAATTTCTTTTGCAAAATAAATCTCTTATTATTAAATTTGTGAGTGTAATACTTCAGATGCTGGCAGGAATGTGCCTGTGTTAAAGATCCAAGTTTGAAAATCATAGATGGATGTAATCCATAGCTCTCAATTTGGATTATTTGGAGGGACAAGTGTGTGACTGATTATAAAAGATTTTCTTTTCTTATTTAATTAATTATTGTTGTATTTATTGTTAATATATAGGATATTATTTTCTTTTGACTTAATTATGTAGTAGAAACTACTTAAAATCTTTAATTTTATTCACATTTGAAAATACACAATAATTTTAATTTTATTGTTATTATGCACACATTTTATATTTTATATTAACAAAAGCAATCATGTGAAAACGTATTTATTTTCAATTCTTAAAAATACTGCAATTCATGTTGTCAGGCATAGCACATGATCAAATAGATCAATCAATATTCATATCAAAGCTGTGGGATGAACACTGTGCAAACTCTCATAATCTCATCTACATGTCTTCTTCATGCACTTCATTTAGAATTTTGGTTTTCTTCAGAAATGTATTTCTAAGGAGATCGACTCCAGCATGTAGACATGGAGTTTTCCAACCATTTGTTGAAGATCCTATTTACTCTAGTGTGAAAGATTATATTTTGGGGAAATTTGTCAAAATGCAGGTAGCCATAATCACACAGATTTAAGTTTCAGTCTTTTATTTTAATCTATTGATCTTTGTGTCTTGCTATTTATTTATTTATTTTTCTTTAACCAGCTCTATGATATTTTCTTATTACTCTGGCTCTGTTGTACGCAATCGAGTTTGATAATGCCTCTATTGATTCTCTCTTGGCTGCTACTCTTTGGCTATCTAGGATCTTTTCATTTTACATCAATTTTAATATTATTATTATTATTTATTTTTATTTATTTATTTGTTTTTGGTTTTTTCGAGACAGGGTTTCTCTGTGTAGCTTTGTGCCTTTCCTGGAACTCACTTTGGAGACCAGCCTGGCCTCCAACTCACAGAGATCCACCTACCTCTGCCTTCTGAGTGCTAGGATTAAAGTCGTGCACCATCACCGCCCGGCCAATTTTAATATTATTGATTGAACTCACCAAAATGAGTGTGGAATAGTGCATGCCATGGGTATTTTTTTATTTAATTTTTTAAATTCATTTTACCTACCAACCACAGATCCCTCCTGCTCGCTTCCCCTCCTCTACCTGTTCATTCCCTCCTCCAAAAGGGTAAGTCTTCCCATGGGGAACAGCAAAGCCTGGTACATTCAGTTGAGGCAAGGACAAAGCCCCTCCCCCCCCCTGCATCAAGGGTTAGCAAGGTGTCCGGCCATAGGTGAAGTGATCCAGAAAGCCAGTTCATGCACCAGGGATGGATCCTGAACAAACTTTCCAGGGGCCCCACAAACAGACCCAGATATACAACTGTCTCTCATATGCAGTGGATCTAGTCCAGTCCCATGCAGGTTCCACAGCTGTCGGTCTAAGTTCGTGAGTTACTATGAGCTTGGTTCAGTTTTCTCTGTTGGTTTCCCTATCATGGTCTTGATGCTCCTTGCTCATATAATCCCTCTTCCCTCTCTTCTGCTGGACTCACAGAACTCAGACTGCTGCTTGGTTGTGGATCTCTGCATCTTCTTCCATCAGTTACTGGATGAAAGCTCTATGGCTATCGGCATTTTTAACCCAACAGATGTCTTTGAAAAATATATATGTTAATACTAATTCAATACAATAGGAGAATTTCAATGCATTAAAATATAAACTGAAAAATGAAATATTAATTGTTATTTCTTGCTTGAATATATAGTATGTGTTCCTTTGTTGAAATATATATATGTGTGTGTGTGTGTATGTATGCATATAT